CAGTGTGCTTAGGAGTCAACCTGCTTAGTGAATCTGTCAAGTTCCGGAAGAGCCACACTAGTGTTTAATAGATTTACCTCTCCAGACTTCAAGAGCCATTAATTTGGAAAGTGCTGAAAAGGACCAGAGTACTACAGAGAGGAAAAATCAAGGTCCAATAAAAATTTCTGAATGGCATGAATTTGGCACTATTTTGATGCACAATCAAGAGAAGTGAAAAAGTTTGTTTAAAACACAACTAAAATATTTCTTCTTGCCTTTTTTCTTTTGCTTGTAACATTGTCAAGGCCACCTATGACTCCAACATTCTCTCCCGGTCCTGCTAGCCTGCTGCTCATATAATTTAAAAGAATGCCAATAAAGTAGGAGACGTGCCAGAAATAACTGGCTCCCAAATGAGCTCTCTTCTCTCCCTACCCCAGGGCTGCCTGCAGTTGTACATCAGCTTTCTTGGTGGGGAGGAAGAACACTAGTACACCTTTTCTTACAGACACCATCACACCGTCTTCTGGTTAACAAATTAAGAAACCCTAGAGGTCTTCTCTCTTCCTTTCTGTGTATGTGTGTGTGTTGTGGAGGGGGGCAGGAAGGGGGTGGTAAGGTTGTAAGTGGCATCAAAAATTTCTTATGACCTACACTTCTTTCATTAATTTGGCTAATGAATGATGGTGTATCCATAACTGGCATATAAGATATGTATCAACATAACTTCTGGGGAGCTCTCCTCAACCACCTCTTGAAAGCTGTACTCACCCCACCTCCCCACTTTATGTCTTGCCACCTGCTTCCTTGTAAGAATTGGAGTGTACTTGTGCTAGCACACAAGCTCCCTGAAGGGGAGACTGTGTTTGTTTGGCTCCCCATAGAAGCCCCCAGAGCCTGAAAGAGAGCCTGATACAGAGTAGGCACCCACTATATAGTATCTGCTGAAATAATGAATAAAAACACCGTTGTGTTACAAAGTTTTGCCTTTATTGATAAGAAACCAGTGATGTTCAATGTAAAATAACAATGTTTTAAAAATGCCATGTTTTCTAATGAAATGATAGCCCTTTACTGCAGGAACCACTTAGAGAAGCCCTATGCCAATGAAAGTGATGAACTTGCCTCTTCCTGCTCCCTTTCCCCTCCAACATCCCTACACGCACATAAAATGGGACACAATTTCAAGAGGTACTGAGACTTCCCCAAAGTCTCTCTATAAACTTCTCAAAGGAGCCACTGGCCCCAGGGTGAGAGCAGCTGCTTTAAAGGGTGGTCTGCGATTGTTCCCCTGTTCCAATCATTCAACAGATACACATGCTCAATTGTAAGTCCTTCCCCCATCCCACTGGTAAGTTAAACATTAAAAGGATTACTTCTACAAAGGATTCACTGCTTAGAATGGGGTAAGTTCAATATTTGCTGCTAAGAACTTGACAAACATTCAGATGAAAGCTGAAAAATGTAGTTTGTAGTCAAAATATCTGGTAAAGCAAATTTGTCACTTAGCTCATAATCTGAGACAGTAGAAAAACAGGATCTATTCCACATAGAATATACTTTCTTAAATTTTATTGTTTAAAAAGCAAAATAAAAGGGAAAAATGCACATCCATTACAGTGAAGTTTTCCATTTAAATAGAAGACCTTCCAGCTAAAAACAGAATATTAGATCAGTAAAGCAATAATAGTGATTTGACTTCGTGTTTTATTTCAATGGGCACACTTCATTCATTGTCTGAAGGAGAACTAGGCTATGTCTCAACGGGCAACAGTCACAGTCATTAAGCAAGTAAACACACCACCACTTCCGTGTCCTCCTTTACTTCTTTATGTCTTCAGCCTCATCTGGCTCTCTCTCTTGATGCTCTCTTTCCCACCTCATTTCTTTTAACTCTTGTCGGTATTTCCGCTCAATGAACCGCTTCTGATGGGCCATCTGGGGAAAGTTATCTGACACAAGGAGATATATTTTATTCTTAATAAAGGATAGCTACTAGTGCAGAGAATGATGCAAACTAAACATATGCACATGTACAAATATATCTATATGATACGTATAGTAGCATTTTGTAAGGCAAGAGAAAAATAGCTTGTCTTCTTTCCTTATTCTTTTGTTATTCAAAAATACATTGGAAATCCTGGATTGGCATTCCTGATTCTAAATTTCAGTATCTGATTCAAAATTGAGTGTAAAAGGCACAAAAATGCTAAACACAGAGGTGTGGTTTTGAATGTTTCCGACCAGCTGATTTAACATTGCTTTCCTAGCAACAAATGATTTTCAGGGACAGATTAAAGGATATAGTACAATGGAGTTCTATACTTTGGAGATGCTCAAACCCAAAGCTTCAAAAGTGGTAATATTACCACACCCTATTTACTAAGAATTAAAGTTTCTGAAATGAGCAAAAAAGAAAAAAAAAAAAAAAGTCACATGGACCAAGTTAAGTCATTAATTAATTCTGTTTTTAAAGTTTACCATGAGAGGACCAAAGCTATAAGAGTAATTCATGAGGACTTTGACTAGAAAACCATCAATCACTGGCATAGTTTAAGCTATATTTACTTGATATTTGACTCTATGAAACAGTACAACATAATGAAAATCTGGACTAAGATTTAGAATTTTACTATTCTGTTGTCATTTGCAGTGCAATTTTAGTGTAGCAATGAAGAAACCAAGTACAGAATGAGAAATAGCCATTTTAAATGCTGAGCCAACAAACACTCATCCAATCACAAAGGACACATGCACCATGGGTAACAGAGAGGAAAAATGCTGCTGCTCTGCCTGGCCAACTAAGGGCTGTTGCAGAGAAAAGACCTCCACGTTTCACATGGGAGGAACCGGGGCGAGGGAGAACAGGGCACGTTCGGGGAGGTAAACTGGTCGGTTTGTTTGTTGTAAAGGTGAAACATAATGAAAGTAAATCTATTCATCTACGGCCTATTCCTAAAGTCTCTTTTCTCCCGCTTGAAAGACAGGCAGTAAATCAGTAAAGACCCTGTATGTCTGAGAACCAGTGATTTTTAAACACAAGAACATGACATCTATATTTTACAAATAAAACAGGAATAAAATACTATTTTATAAAATAACATTAACTTGATTTTGTACATGTTACATAAATCCAGGTTTCAAATATTACAAATAATTTTTAAAAAATCAAACAAATCCAAAAAAGTTAAGTTGTAAAGTAAGTCTCTAGTATATGAATTGTATTTCTTCAGTAAAATCTATTCTAAAATTGAATTTGCTTTAAAAAAAAAATCCCGCTATTCCTATATAGCCAATGAAAAACTTTTCATCCATCCTCTTTTTCCATAGAAGTAAAGTTATAATACATCATACATATACAATATAAATGTGTGTATAAACATTTAAAATCATTCCACTATCCACCTTTACACTGGGAACACAAAGGTATGTATCTATTTATGTATATACTTATTCCCTACTTATTGCAGTATAATCACTTTCATTAGTCTTTAAAAGTATTATTTTCATGGCTAAAAAAAATTACAACATTTGAATACAGCAGTGTTTGGTAAACTATTACCAACAGGCCAAATATAAGCCAATCTACCCATTTCGGAAAGCAAAGTTTTTTTTTTCTTTTATCGTTCATATGTGCATACAAGGCTTGGGTCATTTCTCCCCCTTGCCTCTACCCCCTCCCTTACCACCCACTCCGCCCCCTCCCTCTCCCC